GGGACCATCCCCTGAGCCTGCTTGGTCGGGTAATCTGTGTTGTTGTTGGCAGAGCTCTCTGCTATAAGTCAACCCGATCCGCCATTTTATTTGTTCCAGGACATTTCATTTTGATGTATTTTGTATCGAAGGTCCTTGGCTGACATTCAAAGGGTGATATTCAGAAACTCAGGAGAGAGTTTTGTGCTGGAGATAAAGATTTCAGCACAGTCTCCAATAATGTAGATAATAAATGGGGTCATGGGACTGGATCAGAAAGGAGAGGTACCAAGCATGCAGTGTTAAAGGAAAGACTGGCTCCCGAAGAACACAGCTTAATGTTAAAAAACGAGATTACAACCAAGATTTACAAGGAGCTGCCAGAAGAATCGGCAAACAAAACGGACCAACATCAAACACCAAACAAAGCTAAAGACTAGTGGTGATAGAAGCTGAAAGTGCTTCAAGGAGCAGGGGCTGGCCAAGAGTGCTAAGTGAGGATCAAGGGTCAAGTAAGAAAGGACGGTAACTGTTAGATTTAGCACCAAGGAGGTGACTGTGACCTTGGCAATGGCAGTTTGGTGGAGAGGTGATTTGAACTGAGGATGCAATTAGTTAACCAGTAGTGGGAGGAGAGCACTAAAAGCAAAGACAGCTCTTAGAAGAAAACTGGCTGTGAATGGAAGGTGAGAGATTGTGAGAAAAAAGGAAATAGGATGAAAGAGAGGTTTGTTTCAGTTGCAAGAGTATTTAAGTTGCTAGGCTATGTTGATAAAAGACAGTTGGAAGAAAGGAAGAGAATGAAGACAGGCAGGGGATAGTATAATCATTTAAGATCTATTAGGATGAGAGAGCTTTATAGAGGATATGGGAGAGGAAAAAAGGCAGACTGATATATTCTGTGACTTCATTTTACCTGAGATCCACTCACTCCGAGTCTACCTCAACTCACGGCAACTCTACAGGACAGAGCATACTGCTCCTTAGGGCCTCCTTAGGGAGCAGGTAGCCTCATCTTTCTCCTGCGAAGTGGCTGATGATTTTGAACCACTGACCTTGCAGTTAACAGACCAACACTTAACCCACTGTGTCATCAGGACTCCTCTTCAGAGAACAGAAAGCTGAAAACTGGATTTCCCAGGGTCCTTTGCAGTAGACTGCCAACATGGACTGACGCTGTGACAAGAGGAGACAGGTGGAAGGAAGTGAGGCAGAGGTTGCATTTTACTTCTGCTGTTTCTCCAGGTAGGTCCATGTGGACACACTGAGTTTTTCTGAAACAGTGTTCTAGTGTTCAGATACTTTGTGAAGGTCAAGAGGTAGAACGTGGGTAGATCAGTCAGGCCTGGTGTGACTCAGGGGCCACCATGTGTAGTTGCTCACCAGCATATCCCAGCTAAAGCAGCATTCCTTGATCAATGGATGCAACAATCATTCCTGATCCCCCTCCTTCCTGACTGTGGCTTTGTTCAGGGATAATGCTGTGGTGTAATTCTTGGTGTCATTCCTGGATGCTGCTTTGAGCCCTCTATTTCAGTCCTTTAAGGGATACTGCAATAATTCAATCTCTGAATTAAATTCCCTTTTGCTCAAAAAGTAGTTTCTGTTTTCTGCAAGTAACCCCTGGCAGCAAGAAATGGACATCTCCTCTCATATCATACGTAAGGATGGGTGTACTGGTGCTGCGTGCCAGCGAGTCAGTTCTGACTCAGTGACCCTACAGAGGATTTCCCAGGATATAAATAGTTACAGGAGCAGAAAGCCTCGTCTTGCTTTAATGACTAGTGGATTTGAACTGCTGATGTCGCAGTTAGTAGGCCTACGGAGAACCCACTATGCTACCAGGGCTTGCCTTAAGGATGGGTATTATTTTGTTGTAGTCAAGTGCCCTCAAGTTGGTTCTGACTCATAGCTACCCTGTATATGGTTTCTAAGAAGTGTCTGGTGGGTTTGAATCACCAACCTTGAGGTTAGTAGTCCAAAGCTTATTCTACAGCACTAGAATAAGACTCCAAGGATGGATGTAGATACAAGCAAATGATTTTTTAGGGTGACAGTAATTTTCCGTAATGCAGAAGTTTTTAAGCTGGGATACATGGATAGAATTCAGGGCATCTGTGAATTTAGATGAGAAAACCTTATTACTTCTATCTTCACTTGCCTCTAAGGCAAATATAGCATTTTCTTCTATTCATTGTACATTTTATGAGTTAAAAAATATTCTGGCTTTCCGAGGAGCTAGTCCCCTTGCTGTCGCCCGGCGCCGGCCCTTAACCCTCAAGGGTTTGGATTCAGGATTTGTTCCTAGTGTCCAAGACTTTGATAAGAAACTTACAGAAGCTGATGCTTATCTACAAATCTTGATAGAACAATTAAAGCTTTTTGATGACAAGCTTCAAAACTGCAAAGATGATGAACAGAGAAAGAAAATTGAAACTCTCAAAGAGACAACAAATAGCATGGTAGAATCAATTAAACACTGCATTGTATTGCTGCAGATTGCTAAAAGTACTATTAGTCCTGTAGATGCGGTATATCAACCTAGTCCCTTGGAACCTGTGATCAGCACAATGCCTTCTCAGACTGTCTTACCTCCAGAACCTGCTCAGTTATGTAAATCAGAGCAGCGTCCATCATCCCTCCCAGTGGGACCTGTAATAGCTACCCTGGGACATCATCAGACTCCAACACCAAACAGTACAGGCAGTGGGCACTCACCACCTAGTAGCAGTCTGACTTCTCCAAGCCACGTCAACTTGTCTCCAAACACAGTCCCAGAGTTCTCTTATTCTAGCAGTGAGGATGAATTCTATGATGCAGATGAATTCCATCAAAGTGGCTCATCCCCAAAGCGCTTAATGGAGTAGTTCTTCCAACATTTATTCTTGAAAGAAGATCACTTTTAGAAATGTATGCAGGCTTTTTTTGCACATCCGGACCTGTTTGTGAGCATTAGTGACCAGAAGGATCCCAGGGACCGAATGGTTCAGGTTGTGAAGCAGTACCTCTCAGCCTTTCATGCAGGAAGGAAAGGATCAGTTGCCAAAAAACCATACAACCCCATTTTGGGTGAGATCTTTCAGTGTCACTGGACATTATCAAATGACACCGAAGAGAATGCAGAGCTAGTTTCAGAAGGACCAGTTCCCTGGGTCTCCAAAAACAGTGTAACATTTGTGGCGGAACAGGTTTCTCATCATCCACCCAGTTCAGCTTTTTATGCTGAGTGTTTTACCAAGAAGATACAGTTCAATGCTCATATATGGACCAAGTCAAAATTCCTTGGCATGTCAATTGGGGTCCACAACATAGGGCAAGGCTGTGTCTCATGTCTAGACTATGATGAGCATTACATTCTCACTTTCCCCAATGGTTATGGAAGGTCTATCCTCACAGTGCCCTGGGTGGAGCTAGGAGGAGAATGCAATATTAATTGTTCCAAAACGGGCTATAGTGCGAATATCGTCTTCCACACTAAACCATTCTATGGGGGCAAGAAGCACAGAATTACCGCTGAGATTTTTTCTCCAAATGACAAGAAGTCTTTTTGCTCAATTGAAGGGGAGTGGAATGGCATAATGTATGCAAAATATACAACTGGGGAAAACACAATCTTTATAGATACCCAGAAATTGCCTATAATCAAGAAGAAAGTGAGGAAGTTGGAAGATCAGAATGAGTATGAGTCCCGTTGCCTTTGGAAGGATGTGACTGTCAACTTAAAAATCAGAGACATTGGTGCAGCAACTGAAGCAAAACACAGACTTGAAGAAAGACAAAGAGCAGAAGCCCGGGAAAGGAAGGAGAAGGAAATTCAATGGGAAACGAGGTTATTTCATGAAGATGGAGAATGTTGGGTTTATGAGGAACCATTACTGAAACGTCTTTGTGCTGCCAAGCATTAGGTTGGGAAATGTAAAGTTTATACCTGATGACCAGGGCAGGAGGCATAATTAAGCAAACAATCTTCCTTTGGGAGAATCTGGTTCACTCCCTTCTTATTGCAGTGGCCCTATCTCAGGGATACTGGGCTTTCCAATGCAGATGAACAATTAAAGCAAAAAAAAAAAAAATTCTGTGGAGGAGTCCACAGACTTCAGCAGATGGATAAAGCAGTCTGTGGCATAAGATGTGGTCAGGAGCCATGTTCTAACATCATCTGCTTTCTCCACAAAGTGAGCTTTCTAAACCTCAGCATTACTGACATCTTTCCAAAGGTTAAGTCTTTGTTATGGGGTCACAGTGGGGGACCTGCTCTATACATTGTAGGATACTTAGCAGCCTCCATGTCATGACAATCTAAAATGTCTCTAATTGCTGCTAGAAGTCTCCTAGGACCATTACTATAAAGTAGGGCTGAGACTGAGGTGTGGAATGTGACTGGGTCCAATTTCTGGTCAGAGGGTTTGAAATGAATACAATGGGTGATGGAAGTCGGAAGTCATATGCATTTGAGCAATGTTGAGAGATCATTTGGGATCAGCCTGGATAGGGCAAGAGGTTCTCAAGACTTTTTTTTTTTTCTGAGACACGCACGATGAACGATAATCAAAGGATGGAGAGCTTACCACCAATACAACTCATGTAACAGAGATTGCTTTAACCTGCTTCCATTGAGTTGCTTTCAACTCATAGTGGGCCCACAAGACCGAAGAGAGCTGTTTCACAAGGTTTCTGAGGCTGCAGATCTTTCCAGAAGCAGACTGCCACACCTGTCTACCAGTTAGCATTGGTGGGTTCCAACCGCCAACCTTTTGGTTAGCAGCAGGGCACTGGGACTGTGTTCCCAGGTCCTTAGAGGCTGCGTTACGAAGGAGAGAAATGGACAGAGCACGGTTTCTCTCATCAATCCATATACCAGCACGTCTAAACACACTGTAAAGGAACTCTGGTAGCGTAGTGGTTACGAATCGGGCTGCGAACAACAAGGTTAGCAGTTCGAAATTACCAGCTGTTCCGCGGGAGAAAGATGAGGCTTTCTGCTCCCATAAAGAGTTATGGCCTCGGAAACCCTGTACAGGATTGCTATGAGTCGGAACCGACTCCACGGCACATAACCACAACAAACACACTGTATGTATTCATACAGCAAGGCTTCAAGCAGTTTGTGGAAGAATGGAATTACAGTTACAAGATGATGGAGTTTTTACACAGACTTTTTGAAGCCCCCCCCCTTCTTTGTATATGGAAATGGGAACACTTAAGACCAAAAATAACTCTTGTTCCTGTTCTGCTACTGTAATGTGAAAAAAAATTCTGGATCTCAATGGGTTGGAGGGTTTGTTGTTGTTATGTGCTGTGGAGTCGGTTCTGACTCATAGTGACCCTGTACAGGGTTTCCAAGGCTATAAATCTTTATGGAAGCAGAAAGCCTCATCTTTCTCCCGCAGAACGGCTGGTAGTTTTGAACTGCTGACCTTGAGGTTCGCAGCCTGATTCATAACCACTACGCTACCAGAGCTTCTTAGAGTTGGGTTGCTGCTCTAACTAAAGAAGCTCTGGTGGTGCAGTGTGTTCCTACACGTTGGGCTGCTCACCACAAGGTCCACAGTTTGAATCCACCAGCTGCTCCATGGGAGAGAAAGGAAGCTTTCTGCTCCCATAAAGATTTGCCATCTCAGAAGCCCTACAGGGGGGCAATAAGAGTTGGAGTTGATCTGATGGCAGTGGATGAGTGGGCACGGATACAATCTGAGTCCAGCAAGCAGGAATATGGAGCCTGACTATGCCCCAGAAATTCAACTCCTAGATACTGACTCAAGAGAAACGAAAGTACATATCCACATAAAGACTTATATAAGAGTGTTGACAGTATTTTATTCATAACAGCCCCAAACTGGAAATAATCCAAATGTCCATCAGCAGTATAAATACACTGTGGTTTATAGTCATACAAGGAAATATGACTTAGCAAAAAAAAAAAAAGTTAGAATGAACTAGTGATATTTGCAACAACATGGAAAAAGCTCAAAAACATGCTGAGTAAAATCCACTTTACATAAAAGAGAATACACAGTATGATACATTTATATGACATTTTGAACAGGTAAAACTAATCTATGATGACAAAAAAAAAAAAAAAAATCAAAATAGTGACTGAATCCATGGAGTTGGGTCAAGGACTGACTGGGAAAGAGGCCTGGGGGAACTTTTTGGGGGTGATAATACAGTTCTGTATCTTGATGAGACCTGGGGGAGTTGCGTTTACACAGTTGTACACATTTGCCAAAACTCATCGTATAGTACATTTAGATTTGTGTATTTCATTCTAAAAAAAATATTCCTTAAAAAAGAGGGGGAGAAGAAGAAAAAGTAAGATAAGGAAGGAAGGAAAAAAAAATCGAGGAAGCAGAGAATTTTAAACAGAATGTTGAACTCTAGTTAACGAAATGCATAGCAGTGAAATGAACTGAGACTTGCAATGCACTTTGAAATGCATTCGTAACAAAGCTAGATGGATGAATGGAGGGATGGGCAAATGGGCGGACAACATGATTAAAAGGAAGAACATATCTTACAATGTTAACTGTAGATTCGAGGTGGTTGGTGTGGTTCAGGTACAATTCTTTACTTTTTTTTTTGGTAGTTTGAACTCTTTCATATCTCTGTTGATTAATCTCTTTTTGCCTTTTTAAAGTATTTCATTAACCTTTGGGCAAAGAAAACTACTTATAAACAAGCAAAGCATTTCATATAGTTCTTGTCCTATTTTAATAAATGGATCTTAAAATGTCACAATTGTCATTTCCATTCTAGAAATAATAACCATTGGTAACAACTACTATGGTCACCATCACCATTTCTGCATCACTTAGGCTGTGTTCCGTGTTAAGCTAAATACTTATTAATGCATGATTCTCACACAGAGAAATGAATATGGTTTTGTGTTTGTTTTTTTAAAAGCTCTAGGTTGACTGAGACCAGAAGAACTCTATGGTGCCTGGCTACCATTACTGACTGCTCTGCTCACAACAGAAGGTCCTGGGCCATGTGGGAGAAAAACGCAGAGCCAAATTCGCAATCATAAAAAAGGCCAGACTTACTGGTCTGACAGAGACTAATGGAATCCCTAAGCTGATTGTCTTTGTTGTTGTTGTTGTTAAGTGCCATCGAGTCGGTTCCGACCCATAGCGACCCAGTACAGGGTTTCCAAGGGGTGTAAATCTTTACGGGAGTAG